TGAAAAGACGCGAGGGAATTCGCCTTTCAAATCCGTAATAAATCTTTCTGTTTGCTTCGTCTTATAGTTCTCTATGACGTTAACTTTGTTACAGAAAGAATTTACCAGTAATTCCCATAAATTAAACAATACGATCCAATCTAAACCAAAGAGGTTTACTGAACCAGGGAGTGCATAAACTTTCGATTTGTGAATTTTTCCCATGAACGCAATGTTACATTTTAATTCACCTCTAAACTTAACTCTTTTTCCTGATACTCCCCTGGCAATTTTGTCTGTGTTAGTCAACGGCAGGTAACCAATTTTTTTTTCCATGTTTGCTCGTTTATTACTGAGATATCACTTCCCGAATCGAGTAATAATTTTACGGTCTGCCCATTTATTTTTAAATTGAGGTATTTTCTTCTTTCTCATCAATTTCGTTCTTAGACAAAACTACGTTCACCTTTGTTTGAGACTTTGCTTTTACTTTTCTCTGTTTTGCCCGACAATGGGAACTTCTATGGCCTACACGCCCACAATTAAAACATATTTTATCCCTAAAGAAAAAATCCTTCTTTATATGCTGTCCTCCACACGAACTGCATATAATTTTTCTTTCTTCATTTTGTTTCCACTTCTGTTGTTTTACAGTTTGTACTCGTGAAATGCTCTTCTTCTCAATCCGATTATTATTTTTTTCTGTTTATAAGTCGCTGACATTCTTCCGTTATTTTTTTGTAGCGTAATCTTCGAATCCTGTTCCATGATAGTGAGGATTCTTGATTTAATTTCTTTGTCCTTCGGTGTCGTTAGACCCTGCACAAAAATTAGACACTTGAACATGTCACTTGACAACTCCTTTAATTTAAACGCCTCACACTGTGCGTTAACCATACCTGCATACGTGAGAAAATCATCATCCTTTTGTTTTACGATATTTAGACATCTGTATCGTGTATGAAACAGACTATCTCTTTCATCGAAAATTTTCGACAAAATTTTTACTGTTTCGCTGAATGTAATTTCTTCTGGCTTCTTTGGGAAGATCAATTCGCGTATTTCGTATTTTCTTCTGTTCCCAACTTCTGCAACAATAAAGTAATGTTTTCCTCGTCGGACCATTGTTTGCATCTTTTCGTAAATATTGTTTCAAACCTACGAAAATAAGTCGGAAACGTTGAACCACCGTCAGGGTCGTACTTAAATTCAGAGGGTGAATTTGAAATTCCTTCAGCAGAAAAAAATCTAGAACCTGGTTCTTTTGTTGTTCTAGATAATACGTCTTCCAAAAGTGATTTATTGCCTTTTGCCTGTTGTTTCTTTCTTGTTGCTGAATAAATTGTTGTTGTTGGAATTGTTGCTGTAAAGTGACTTGTAGCGCCTTAGTTAATTAAGCAATTTGTTCCATTCTGTCAACGTATCCACAAGAAGAAAATTTGCTCCAATTTATGTAGACAATAAAATTTTCTATGTCCAAACAAGAGGGGGTGAAATTTCTTACTTTCTGTCAGCGTTGCACAAGTTTTTCCTTTTCTAATGTTCCTCGTTAATAAGCGTTAAAACAAAAATGCGGGAAAAATTACTTACTTTCGGTAAGCGTCGAATAAGTTTTTCCAACGTTCTTCGTTAGTAAGTGTTGTCAACTGTATTTTTTTTCTTTTGTTTTATCTTGTAAGGCCGTTTCGAATCTCGTCGCTAACTGATATGTCCCGGAAAGGGATATATTTGTTCGAAGTAGCAAAGTGGTTCTGGACTACTGTAACTGAGTACGACAATCTAGCAGGTAACCGTAATGGACTGGTCCTCGTCGTACTGGTAGGCAATAGGCGTAGACAACAGGCGAAGACAATAGGTGCCGTCCCCGTACTTCCACATCAGTCTGTATTTATGGCTGACACCAGCCAATCATATGACTACTGGGAGTGAAAGAGAAAAAACAAATTCTCGAAGGAACCGGAAACGCAATACTAAACAGGAAACAAAGTATAAAATTCTATTCTTGTTAAAAAAACGGGGAGGAGTTTGAACCGGATGATAGACAAACCTATCTACTCCTATTGAGGAAAAATAAATAAATAGTAAATAAGATTTCAGAGTTCAGGCGGAGACGTTATATGTGTACATTTGAGATCAACTTTAGAAAGAACCGGAACACCAGTCCTAAACTGGAATCAAAGTAAAGACGAGGAGTGTGAAAATGTGAAATAAAATGAGTTCTTATAAAAGAAATCCCGTGGCAGAAGAAAGTAGATTTTATCGCATGAGAAAATGATATGAAACAAACTATTTATAGGAAAAGAAAATGATGTATTGGTTCAGATTTTGTTTATACAATTGCATGAATTGAAAGTGACGCACTTGATAGAATGCACGAAATCGTGTTTGTGAAAACCAGATAAAGCATGATTTCGAAAGATTTCAACTCAATGTTGCCATTTACTGAGGGCATGAAAATACCGAATTAGAAACACAATTTCGCACGCATAAAATTAGAAATATGAAGGTGAATAGGAACAGCGAAAATTAAGATATTGGAAAATTTCATAGAAACAAATTAATTGATTGATGGATTCTTTTTTTACGGCTTATCAACCTTTACAGGTGATTTAATACCAAACAATATTTTTTAGATTGCAAGAGTTTTTTTCTTTACATTCATAATTCTTTAGTGATAATTTTTTTAATTAACCCATAGCTTATAGAAAAGAGGTGGATTCATAATTTTCGCAGGAGTATTTTCGCGTAAGGGAATATAAGAAGCACAACGAGAATAGTCAGCCTATGGATTTTTCAGAGTACCTGGAAAGAAACAATGCAGTTATTAATAAGAAGAGTTGAAATGAATTCATGCAAGATTTCACAGCTCTAGCAACACTCCTTCATAGTCAGCCTATGAACTTTTCAGCCCACACTCGTACCTGGAAAGAAACAATGCAGTCATTAATAAGAAGAGTTGAAATGAATTCATGCAAGATTTCACAGCTCGAGCAACACTCCTTCATAGTCAGCCTATGAATTTTTCAGCCCACCCTCGTACCTGGAAAGAAACAATGCAGTTATTAATAAGAAGAGTTTAAATGAATTCATGCAAGATTTCACAGCTCTAGCAACATTCCATCATAGTCAGCCTATGAACTTTTCAGCCCACCCTCGTACCTGGAAAGAAACAATGCAGTTATTAATAAGAGTTGAAATAAATGCATGCAAGGTTTCACAGCTCTAGCATCACTCCTTCATAGTCAGCCTATGAACTTTTCAGCCCACCCTCGTACCTGGAAAGAAACAATGCAGTTATTAATAAGAAGAGTTGAAATGAATGCAGGCAAGATTTCACAGTTCTAGCATCACTCCTTCATAGTCAGCCTATGAACTTTTCAGCCTACCTACGTACTTGGAAAGGAACAATGCAGTTATTAATAAGAAGAGTTTAAATGAATACATGCAAGATTTCACAGTTCTAGCATCACTCCTTCATAGTCAGCCTATGCATTTTTCAGCCCTCCCTCGTACATGGGAAGAACAATGCAGTTATTAATAAGAAGAGTTGAAATGAATGCAGGCAAGATTTCACAGTTCTAGCATCACTCCTTCATAGTCAGCCTATGAACTTTTCAGCCTACCTACGTACTTGGAAAGGAACAATGCAGTTATTAATAAGAAGAGTTTAAATGAATGCATGCAAGATTTCACAGTTCTAGCATCACTCCTTCATAGTCAGCCTATGAACTTTTCAGCCCACCCTCGTACCTGGAAAGAAACAATGCAGTCATTAATAAGAGTTGAAATGAATGCATGTAAAGATTTCACAGCTCTAGCATCACTCCTTCATAGTCAGCCTATGAACTTTTCAGCCTATCATCGTACCTGGAAAAAAAACAATGCAGTTATTAATAAGAGTTGAAATAAATGCATTCAAGACTTTACAGTTCTAGCCTCAACTTTTCTGCCTTTCATCGTACCTGGAAAGAAACAATTCAGTTATTAATAGGAAGCGTTGAAATGAATTCATGCAAGATTTCACAGCTCTAGCATCATTCCTTCATAGTCAGCTGGTGATTTTTTCAGCCTACCTCCTATGTGAACATAAATAAAATCTAAAATTATATTGAAAAAGTACATTGACAAAATTTGCGTCTCTATGGCTATTTTTTGTATAAGATATAAAATAAAAACAAGACAACTGAACCGTCGTCAGAATTGTAATAATCGCAATACGAAAAGTTTTATTGTACAATATTGCCAGACTTAATTTTTTTTATTGAATAGCTTCATGTATCATTTCTGTGTAAACCTTTAAATATAACGCCATCATCGTTGAATGATGATCAGGCTTGAAATTTTCGAAAATAGAGAACGCCATAAAAACGACTTTCAGTAACCTGTCTCCTGATTTTAACGAAAAGTCTTTTATTTGTTGTTTCTTCTCGTTTTTGTGACCGGGTTCTGGTAAATATGGCACCATTGTGATCGTTTATATTCTATTTAATTGCAAGCAAACAGACTCCAAGTTTAGGTGTTATGGAGATAATTCGGACTTGCATAGAAAATTCTTTTCTTATTTTGTCAGTTTTGTCTTAAACAAAATGAACTGACTGTATTTCTCGTGCAACAAATGAGACAGAAATTATTCGACAAACGGAGCCAAATATCGGATTGTTTGTTAAAAGATGGCGATATTTGAACAAGTTTTTATCCTGCTGAGTTTGGGGTAAGTTAGTTAATTTAACGACATATCAATTCTTATGTGTCAAAAGATAGACATAGAGGTGGATTACACGGGAAGGCAAATGGTAAACACAGGCCACTATCTTTGAGTTCAAAAGTTAGATATATGTCTGGTTTACACGGCGATCTAAAAATTAAATAAGTTTTTTTTTTTTACACTCGAGTTAAAATGCTAGAAAATGCGCGCTTTACACGACACTCTAAAAAGTAAATACAACTTTTTACACTCGAGTTAAAATGGTACTATAAGTTAGGATGTATGGGAAGCATAATTGGCTTATAGGTATATCACATTGGAACACCGGTTCTCGTACAATCACCAAAGTTAAGCAACGTCAAGCCTGGTCAGTACGTAGATGGGTGATACCTTGGGAATATCTGGTGTTGTATGTTTGGTTATGCAGGTGGTATAATGGGCTTATGGCTATATCCCGTTGGAACACCGGTAATCGTACGAACACCAAAGTTAAGTAACGTCAAGTTTGGTCAGTACTTAGATGAGTGACCGCTTGGGAACACCAGGTGCTATAAGCATGGATGTGCGTGTTCTCTAATGTATTACTGCTGGGAATTTGTAATCTCAAAGTCATTTCTTTTCCGATTTGTTATATTACGCGCAAATACACTTGGGGAAGGCATGAATCCACATCTCCTTCAATTATGGATATTGTATCTGTAAATCATTATTACCTTAAAATAAAACCCTTTCACCCTAAAATATTTTCTGGCTTTAATTTACCTGCAAAAGGTTGATAAACAGTAAAAAAGTAAATCATACAATCAATTTTAATATTACGTAATTTCTTACGTGTATATTCTTACTCTCTTGCTTGAAGAAACATCCATACGTCCATTACCCAATCACCAAATATTCCTCGACAGGTGAAATACTTGGATAGACTGAGCCTTGGTAGGGTAAGTATTGTCGGAATAGTATAGCTCTGATTTTAAAGTCAGCTTGACAAAAGATTGGGCTGCCTCTGACCATGTTTCCCTAGATAAACTAAATGTTGTAGCCGCTTTATAAGTGATTGTCTCAACGGCCCTCGAGATATGTAGGTATGCACCCATTAAAACTCCGATAATACAAGTTGTTGAATACTGTAGAATAAGGTATTGACAGATCATTCTGTGACAAAAGTTTGAATGCTTCTAAAATTTTTACTTTCTTTTTTTTTGCGTTTACTGAGAAACAGATTTATTTTATTCGCTTCATCACAATTTCGACTGCCTTTTCTCTCCGAGTGTAAATCTTTGTTTTTTTTTTTTTTTACTGAAATCGTAAATTTAAGGGCTGTACGAAAAATAAAGAAATAAAGAATTCCTTTGTGAAGCTTATTTTCCTTCCTACTAGTTGTTTTTTTTTATCTCTTATCTCTTGAAATGTCTTTCAGAGTTGTCTGCGCATGCTCAGTTGCTCCTTGTTGTACTGGCAAAATAAAAGGCGCTTATGCAAGCGAAGTTTTGTACACGATAGGAAATTGTGATTAATACAAAAAAGTTCGTGAAATAAAAGAAAGAACAACGCAAAACATAGGAATCAGACACAATGGAAAGCAAGTAAATTAGGTCATCTGTTAATGTGCTTTGTTCTTGTTGCTATTGTTTTGCAATAAACGAGCGATGGCAGCATACTTCGGCAATTAGAAAATATCCCAGCAGCAAAAAGAACATGAGTATTTACTGGTCTTCCAGTGACTGATTTGCATAAAGAGCCTTCGTCTTAGTGTAACATGAAGGTTTTATTTCCCCTAGGTATACGTACAGTAATTGCTTTCATAATGATTTTTTTACATTAATTTTCCAACTGACTCCATATTTGATATTAGATTCACGCCTGCGACTGCGCAAGCGCACAAAAGGTTTTCAAGGCGAAAGGGTAAGCACAAGAAAAAGGTGATAGTGGAAACTATTGAATATATTTTAGCTTTTACATTCCAACATTGTCAGAGACCAATGAGTAGCGACAATTTTAAGAAAACGTTACTTATTTCAATATATTTATATTTATATTTCAAGATATTTATTTAAACTTTAATTCAGCAATTAAAAAATTTAACTAACGTTGGTTAATATTGGCTGATGGCCATCATTTTTGTGCACACAGTGAGGGTCGTGCTAATTATACTTTTTTAGAAAAAAAAGAGGAAGTAGAAAAAAAAAGGGAAGAAAGAACGAAAAAAGAAAGAAAGAGTAGGGTAATATTTAAATGAAGCAAAGAGGAAATAAAAGATGAAAGAGAATATTATAAACGAAAGAAAGAAAAATTTTTTAAAATAAGGAAGAAAAAAAGAAAGAGTAGAAAAATATTAAGAAAGAAAGATGACGTATCGATGACGTAATATGTAAAGAGTTTCACGGCGGTGACATACGTCGAACATCTGAATTGGGAAAAGTACTCACAGCAAAAATGGAGGACTTGCATGTGTGTTCACCAAGATAAAATACTAAGAAACAACAAGAAGCGATATATATAGAAATAAATGATAATATATTAACAAGAAAAGCAACAAGTGACAAAGACAATAATATGTTTAACAAAAGAATGTAAAAATCTTTTTGGTTCAAAGGATGTGAAGTTAGTGAAAGTGCGTGCGTACGTGTGTTGTGTGTGTGTCGTTTGTTCATGCGTTTTCCAATGAACAAATGGGTTTTCTCGCAAGAGACTTACATGTTGACGCTTAAGCGGAAAAAGTAAGGAGAGAGCGAGAAGAAATATTGCAGAGTATTTATAGTCCAGGTGAGCGTCCCCTAGTAACGATTTCAGGAAAATAAGTAGAGTTAAACACACAAGAGGCAATATTATAATCGGAAGAAAGAAAGAAAAAAAGAAAGAAGTTGTGAGGAATTTTGAGAAAGTATTAAGAAAAAAGAAGGAAAAAGGCTGTGAAATATTAAGAAAGAAAGAGGAAATATTAAGAAAAAAGAAAGAGCGAAGGAAAGAAACAAGTAAAGAAAGAGGAAATATTATGAAAAAGGAAGAAAAAGAAATAGTAAAGAATATTAAGATATATGGAAAGAAAGAAAGAAAGAAAGAAAGAAAGAGTCTATATTATAAAAAGAAAGAAAAATTCTGAGAAAAATATTAAGAAAAAAGAAAGAAAGAGGCAAGGATATATTAAGAAAGGAAGAGAGAGAAAATACTAAGAAAAAGTGAAGAAAAAAGAAAGAATTAAAGAAAGAGGAAATAAATAAATAAAGAAAGAAAGAAAGAAAGAAAGAACGAGGAAATACCAAAAAAGAAGAAAAAGGCAAGGAAATATTAATAAATAAATAAATAAATAAAGAAAGAAAGAAAGAAAGAAAGAAAGAGGAAATACCAAAAAAGAAGAAAAAGGCAAGGAAATATTAATAAATAAATAAATAAATAAAGAAAGAAAGAAAGAAAGAAAGAAAGAAAGAAAGAGGAAATACCAAAAAAGAAGAAAAAGGCAAGGAAATATTAATAAATAAATAAAGAAAAAAAGAAAGAAAAAGGGAATATTAAGGTGTCAGTTCAGTTTATAGAATTGTTTGCGTCTGAGTAACAAAAAACCTTAATTAGAAAAAAAACTAAATTGTCAAAAATCAGCAATGGCGTCCACTGGGTGGCCTTTCATTGGCCTCGATTTCTTTTTAATCATTTCTTTCCGAGGAAGGCGATAAAGCCACTAAGACGCAACAACTTACTCAGAGGAAAAGGAAATGTGAAAACGTCAGTGTGGAGACTGAATAATAAAAGAACAGGATTCAAGGAAACGAAAGATAACGATTGACATTGCATTTAATTTTTTGATGATCGCAGCTGACAGGAAAGAAAGAAGTCGGAAGAGAATTCCACAGGTAAGAAGTGCGAGAGAAAAAATATTAGAATAGAATTTATCGTTATATCAACCTATTTTAACAATAAAATGTAGAGACCTAACTGCCAATCTAGTACTACGCTTAAATTCGTTAGGTCGAAGTACCAATGAGGACAGCTCACCAGAGCAATTGCCATGAAAATATTTATAGAAAGATCAGAGGGAAAATTAACCGCGGTAGAATGTAATTGAAGCCGAGATTCCAGGTCAGAACCGATAATATTGCAGATTCTTTGGATTTTGCTAAGAATATATATATATATATATATATATATATATATATATATATATAACAGGAGCACCAGACCAGATGTGACAACAATATTCAAGAAACTGACGAGTGGCAGATTTATAAATGTATGTTATTCATCATGACGGTCGTCTTCGAGTATAGAATCCAGAGGTTAGCAGTGAATATTTCAAAGACAGTAGGGAAGCGTAGTTCAGGTTAGCAGTGGATATTTCAATAAAAGTAGCAGAGCATAGTTATTCCTTCTGTTCCACTTCGCCTGACAAGCTGGATTGGACATTCGGGTAAAGTGAACAAAAATGGCCGCCTTTATACACGACGGATTGAATGTTTTACGTCTTCTGATTGGTTAACCTTCTATTGGTGGACTATAAAGTGAGTTAAGGCATTTGGACTAACTCACTAGTACATAGATATACACAAAAAACTGTAACAATGTACGGGATAGATGGATTTTCGAAAAAAAAAATGAACTCATCTAGATGACGAATTGATGACGTAATATTTAAAGAAGTTATGGAGCTGTGGCAGTCGAGAAACGCAGACAAAATTTAATAATGTCTAATTGTGTAATGATTTTTAGCGCCAAAACGATGGAAACGTTTTTCTTCGTATTGCTAACTTTTCTAAGGTTTTCTTGGGCACAAATAGGAAGGCTATACATGGAATGAATGAATTCTGAACAGAGATGAGGGTATTGGGGAAAATGTAGGCTAGTCTGGAACCAACGGCAACTGACAAAAATAACAATCATCCAATGAGTATGTATCAAATTCTATTCTTGTTTAAAGCTAATGCGCTTAACCCATCAGTCAGCTTCCTGTATAATGTATAACAATATACGACGTTTATTAATACACCCCATTTAACAAGAGAACATCGTGATTAAATTATAAAATACGAGCTAGACGAGTCATCTTTCCAGCTCTTTTGTGCAGACGGTCGCGTTCGTATTAGAGGAAACTGCATCAAGCCTGTCAGAAGATTCTTGCGCATGCTGGTGTTGGCTTTATAAAGAAGTGGAGTGTGTTCTGCTCGAGTTCACAGAAACTGTTGCAGTTTTTTGTGTATATATCTACTAGTGAGCTAGCCCAAATGACTTGACTCGCTTTATAGTCCACCAATAGAAGGTTAACCAATCAAAAGACGTACAATATTCAATCCGTCGTGTATAAAGGCGGCCATTTTGTTTACTCTCTCCGAATGTCCAGTGCCAGCTTGTCAGCCGAAGAGGAACAGAAGGAAGAACTACGATCTGCTACTTTTACCGGGATATCCACTGCTAACCTGAACTACGCTTCCCTACTGTCTTCGAAATATTTACTGCTAACCTCTGGATTCTATACTCGAAGACGACCGTCATCATGAACAACAGAAACTCCGGTTGAAATTGAGTCAGTATTCGCATCTTTTAACTTTTATCTTTTGGCAGGACATA